CAACTAGTTTACGGTTTAAAACTGGTGAAATCGTTCCAAGGGGTCTAACAGAAAGCGTGGGTGGGGTGCGCTTGGGGCTGTGACTGGCTGACTGCGCCTCATCCCGGAACTCAGGCTGTGCTCGGACATCACTGGCTAAGTCTTCAAACTCAGCATCCAGGTCTCTGTTTTCAGCATCGACCGCCAGCCCGGCTGTCTCCTCTTCATAGTTTGGCGGGCAGGCGCCCGCCAGGAAGTGCTCGTCCAGCGGCCCCAGGCTGTCCTGCAGCACAGCGCCCTGGCTGCTCTGACCGACCGGCCTCTCGTAATACACCAGGACGCGGTCACCGGCCTGCTTGATCAGCTTCAACACCTGCAGCGTAGATGTGATTTTCACACCTGTTGGAAGATTTTAAAAAGGGAAAACATAAATTACTGCAATAAAAAGTACCTCAATTGCTAACTACAATTGCCCTTAATAAGTGATCATTTAACTCATGAAAAAGTAATAGAGAAATCTCCAAAATATTTGACTGGCTTTTGGATGCATCAGCATACTGATTCTCAAACCTGGAAGGTGGTGTCCTAGGAATGTTTACCTTTCAAACCAAATGGTGAATAACAATCCTTAGACAGCTGCCACGCTGCCAACTCCTAATGGCTTCCCGTTCCTTCCTAGGTTTAAATGACATTATTTCTCAGTTTAAGTGAGTAGAGTGAGATCTGAAGAGGATTTTGTTAATGGTTAAAACAGACTTAGAGTGATGGGAAACTGATTCTACTGAAGAAAATCCCAAAATATACCAGGGATTACAAACTATGTGGTTCAATTAAGAGATCGATGCTTGAGAGAAACTTTTTATAAGCTCTATCAAACTAATCCTTTTCTGGACCAAAAAGAACAAGAAAGGTCTAAGATGCTTGAAAGTTAAACAAGTTAGTTACTATCTGCATCTATATTGATAATATCTACCAAGTTTTGATTTTATATTTTCTGATAGGCACTACATTAACACAGTTCAAAATTCAAAAGGTACAGAAAGATGTACTGGAAAGCACCTCCCTTCCACCCTGTCTCCGAGCCTTACTGTCCCCTCCCTGAGGAATCGAAGCCAGTAGCATCTGGTGTATTCTTCTAGAGACCTGCTAGGTGTATCATTTAGAGGCTCTAATTGTTTCCTGCCCTCTCCCTACTCTCCCCAAACCGTTCTTACTCAAGCTATCCCTTTCTGTAGGGCTTAGAGAAAGGTGAGAAGGGGGTCTTTGCTTTATAAAGGTCTTAGGGCCATCCTAAATAAATCAAAGTCACATCAGCCCCATCTAATAACCTGACTTCAGAGTTTTTCAACCTATAATATATCCTCTCCTCCTTCGGCTGCCCCGGTAAGAGCATGCTTCAGACCTGCTCATCACTTGAACTTGTCCACAGCAAAGACCTTTCACTTGGAGATTAATCTCAGATCAGTCTCCTGTTTTCCACCTCTTACAATCCCATCTGCTAACTGAATGTTTTGAGGTTAATGTCCAGGTCTCATCATTCCCCCTTTGCTCTCATGATCCAGCCGGTCTCCTGATACCATCTGGTTTTCTCCCTGACCTCAGTGTCATGATTTCAGTGATGTTTACATCAAGATTTTCGATTCTTTTGCCCTAGCCCTTTTCTGTCTACCTGTCTTTCTGATCCCCAGCTGTGCTTGCCCCACCATCTCCCTTTTCTTCTCCTGAGCTTAACACCTGACAGCACCGAGTCATGCTATCCATCTTCAGCAAGGCGGCAGAGCTGCTGCAGCCTTTAGATTGGTCTCTAAACTAAGTCTCTGAAACACCAGCTCCCAACCTTTCCTATCCCCCCAAAGCCCACTCTTCCCACTCTCTTCTGTAGATGGCATCACCTTATTTACTGAAAAGATCAACAAGAGGCCACCTTTGCGCCCTGCCAATCACTTCGGGTATTAACCTATCTCAGCGGAGGAAGTATCCCTTTACTTGTATACTTTGGATCTCCCTCTCCCCCTACCTCCTTCAGCATTTTGCTCCGTCAATTATCCTTACTTTTATTTTTACTTCCTTCCTCCTTCTGCTTAAAGCCTTCCTTTTCCTTGGTTTTCATGACACTGTACTAATTTGGTTCCGATCATCTCTTCTCCGTTTTCTCCACCTCCACCTGCCCCTTGCATGGTTTTCTCTGTCATTAGTTTTCTCTGCCTTTTTGCTCCCACTGAATTATAATCCACTTCAGTAGTTTCAACTATCAGCTTTTCCTTTGGTGTCCCCTCCTGCCCCGCATTCCCAACTCCTTCTGGACATCGCCCCCTGGATTTCTTTGACACTCCACACTCCGTATAGTTAAGACCCCTTTGGCCTTCCCATCCTCCTGTCCTCACTACTCTGTGATCAGCTTGCCACCCCCCACCTAACCTGATTTGAAACCCAGAGATAGCCGACTCCTGAGACCCATTCAGCTGTCAGCTCTGTCGAAGTTCCAGTCCATTTGCATCTCCTGTTCCCATCCTCCAGATCATGGGCTTCAGCTACAGCAATAAACAGCTCTTCACTCTGATCCCAAACTCACACCTTCCCTATTTTAATCACCGAACATAATACTGCTCCCCAGTTTTCCTAAAGCTTCAGCTCAAAAACCTTTAGCCTATAAACTGATCACATGGATATCCAGAGCTTTCTAATATGGCTCTACATCATTCACCCAGCCTTAACTTATACTGCTTTCCTCTAGTCACATTATGTTCCAACAAAATTGTAGTTCCACATATGCGTAAGTAAAGAATACGTCCATCTAATGGCCTGTAGTAGGCAGAAACTGCCACTCAGTCCAAACCCGTTCTTTGTGACTGCACACGCGCCCTCACCTCATCTCTTCCCCCAACCCCCAGGAGCTCTGTGGAGATGGCCACTGTGCCTCTCAGGACACGGCGGCCAACTCGGGATGCCTTTTCTTTTGGAATATTTAAAATATATACAAAAGTAGAGGAAATAGTAAAAAGAACATCATTGAGGTTCAAATATAACAGACACTTGTGAATCTTATTTCTAAATATACCAATTCCATTACTAAATATTTAAAGAACTGTATACCCATATAAACAAATGGCAGCTATAGAAAAAGAATGTGTATCACACCTGCCCCTTTTAGCAATAAATATTATTTTTTACAAATGTTAGATATGAAG